TTGTATAGTTCCTAGTCCGACGATGTAACGGACCGCGCGGCCAATTTCGAAGGCCCCGCCAGTGTCCAGTGCATGTTTGCTGGCCGTTTTTAATTTGAGACTGCTCTCTGTGCAGATTTCTTCAGAAATCTTCAAAACATGGCTAACTCGTTCCACGTATGCGTAACACGCAAATAGAGCAAGTGGTTTCCGCGACCAGGGTGTCCTGGTAGCAGTTGGTATACCGTTCCTTGGGAGATCTGAAACAAACGGTTTGAAACTGTCTTTGATAGATTAGCTGCCAATCAATCTTTCATCAACTTCTTTGGAGTAGGTGTTCGAAAATTAAGGACAACAACGCCTGTGACACGTGACACGTAACTTTTCCATTAGTTTATGAAATGCTACTCCCCATCCACTACTCACACACTCACTCACTCTCTCTCTCAAACAGCTTTCGTCCAATAAAAACAGCTTCAAGGAAAGCAACTCAGCAGTCAACACAATGTGTGCACTACCTAGCAAATGGTTTGAGTCAAATATCGGCCAGTCTGAATAAACTGGTGTGCTCTTCAAGGGTTCCAAAGCCCTTCCCACGCTGGAATTATCTTATTCAATCTGTGCCTTTCGTCGTCAAGTCCCAATCCACTCCGTCTCATTTGTTCTCCAAAAAGTGATCAATCCGTTGTATTGATTTACACTATCATTTGATTTTCATCACAGTTTATCTGATGAAAAACTTCACACCGTGTTTATTTGCCCCTGACAGGTTTATTCTGCTTCGGGATTTCTAGGACGGCTGAGCAAAATGGTTCCGGATACACGCAGTCAGTACACGACGAGTACGAGGTGCAAATGACTGGGGGCAAGGAAAACGTGAACTGTAATCTATTGTGTGAATATCGTCTCGAGATTGCAACTCACACAGAACCAAATATCAGCACAGCCGAGAGCACAGCTCACAAGACACACAAGGGTGACTATACTCGAACTGCAAAGAGGGAACTGAGTTGATATCATTGGAGGACAATGATTTGCTACGACTACAATAGTGGTTTAAAGCAGCGGAACCAGTCGCATCAATGTGTTGAGCGTTTTCCGGCTACGTTTGATGATGACGCTCCGTGTGACTGTTGCGTGTTCTCAGATATCATGCGCACGGTGCCCGGAGTCCGAAACTTTGTGTATGTATGAAAGCTGGTGGAGAATATAATTCGAGAAAATGTAATGTTTATTTTCATGTAACAAATCAAACTTTTGGTGCATCCGGAAACTTCTTGCTCAGCCCTGTTCACACCTGTAAGTTACGTCTGGTATCTCAGCCAAGGTAGAGTAAAACACCAGGCAAGAGAAGACAGAATCAATCTATGTTCCATTTACACTGGCATTCAATGCATGCAGTACAATGCATATATATATATAACAGTTACATTATAATCACATATATGTACAAACCTCAATTCGTGGCATCCTCCCGGGAGGTTCACCAAACAGCCAATCAATCGGTGAGGGGTGTAACGAAATGCGGGCACCAACTCCTAGGAGTAAACGAGCGGACAAAACTTTTACTCCACGAAAGACGCCAATTGGTGGGGCCAAGGACTAACACCGAGCAAAAAGGAGAAGACAGAACCGGCTGTCCCGAAAATATTTATGTATTTCACACAACTCTGATGCCGGACTGCATTCCAAACAAATCGTGGTACAATTATCTTGAGGAAAAAGAGAAACGTTCCACGGATGGCTTGTGGGCCGAATACTGCCAGGTTACCCAGAACAAGGCAGGTGAATTTTCTTGAGGAATCCACAACCGGAGCCTTCGGCTAACCAAAGCCTGACCCGCAAGGCAGTGGGACGGTGTGAAAACCGCAATCCATCGGGGGGCCAGTGTCCAGTTCATCGGATCATACGCCCTGTGGACAGGGTCAGATGTCCAAGGTGCCCAAAACACTTCGATGCTCCGTCGAGCCGGTGATAATTGCAACAACTGAGAGGATGTGTGATTCGTACGCCTCCTCTTGGTTGGTTTGGAATCAGGGTTTTTGGCCAACTCTCCTAGGTGAACTACCAGTGGTTTAAATACCCGGTTATAGCCCCGGATATCGGCTTTTCGTCCTTTGGAGGAAAACCCTCCGCCACGGGAAGGCAGTGAGTGAGGCTTCTTGAGCAGAGGCTATTTGAGACGCTTGGTCGTATAGGAGGATGTCGCGATGTACAAGGGCAGGGTGACCAGCCGCAACCCTAGACATCCACCGGTTGTATTTAATAGAACTCGTAATATGCACGTAAGTAAATCCTTTTAATTAGGCACAAACCAGTAGCATGGTAATTCATGTACAATAATAAAAGCATGTCATCAGCCGGTACTGGCTATACAAGGCATCAGCAGTGAGCCAATCAATAACAAGCAGACAAGTGGTGCAGTCTGATTGGTCACCGTGATCAAGGTCGCATGTGAGGGACGTCCGTGTCATGTGCGTGTACTTCGAGCATTGATGTCGCGCATTCAGCGGGAGCAATCTACACAAGAGTTATCCAACAAATACATTAGGCCACACAACACCACCCCTGACCATACTGAGGCTTTCGGAGACGAACGCCGTCCCCTCACAGCAGACCGTAGGAAATATATGGGTCTATGATAAGCAATGAACGAGCATAACATTAGTAACAAAGGCCAAACAAGACAGATTATGTGACAGAGAAGGCTTGAACCCGTGTTACGTTTGTGTGAGAGGAGGGTCTGTATACGGGGGGTGTTCGGCTATCATATTGATCGATCTACAGTGGTCAGTAGATCATGGGGTCCTAAACAGGGTGTGACAGAGAGAGAGAGGCCAAACGACGATGATTTCACATGGCAGATGCAAGACCGCCACCAGATTGAAACGTGACTTCACTCCCTACCATGCACCCTCAGAACGATTTTATACGAAAATGGTTCAATTTTCTCATGCCACAATTGCAGATGGCGAGCTAAAGAGCTAGAGCATCTGAATATACGTGGGTGTGTACTTTGTCCTGATTGAAAATCGTATATCCTTTACTCGGAATCTGTCTTGCGTTTGAATGGACAGTCAGGGATGGTAGTAGTTTGTGAAGAACGAATGTTTTCAACTCCGTTTGTGCAATATTCTCAGACACATTATCCCGCAAACAGCCCCGAAAATTTTGAGCGGTTCTTGCACCTAGTAAAATTAAAATCGGATTCACCACTAACTGTCCAAGGTAGGTCCAACAGTTAAAAGAGGTGATTAAGACAACGTATGAACAATCATGTTGCTACAGTTTAACAAGAACAGTGCTTGAATCCGTCGTGGATTTGGAGTGGTGAATGAGGCAAATTGGTTTTCGGGTTTGTGCTACTCCAGTCACGTGATGGTGCATTGACTATCATGCTGCGTATCCCAGTTTAAATAGGTATCATCAATATCTTATTCAAATAACGATCCACTACTTATCTAGAGGCACATTAGCAATGTCGTAGATTGTGGAACAGAAAAGAATCACATGCATTTTAGATCCTCAATTATCACGTGGTGGGTGATCTAAAAATGCATCTGAACAAGTTATAACTGTGAGCAGAATAGTGAAATAGAGTGATCGGATAGAAAATAACCGTTCCGCGTGTGTGATGTGATACGGCAGAAATGAAACTTAAATCGTTTCCGGACTGCAAGAGTTAAAATCGTGTTCTCCTTGTCTAGTAGTTCACCCCCAAACCCGCATACAACATCATCAGAGCTCAGTACGCTCTCTATCGTTTTGCACACTTTCACTGTTCACACGGGTAGCCAGGGGCCAACAACAGCAAGACCAGCGAATATATAGGTGTGAGATTACTGGTGGTGCGAACTGCCACGCCTGAGACTGGAATAATTGGAAAGGCAGGCTAAAGGTGGTTAAACTATGACATGGTGTAAAAAAACTTTGACTAGACAAATCCTTTTTCGGAATCTACGTTGAACGATTCGGGACCCGTATATAATCAGTGGTTCTGGGCACTGGTTGGTTTATGGCTGAATGTCGAAAAATGTTCGCGCTCGTGCATTTGTCCACATGAACCCTCTTGTACCGTTTTCTTTTCATGACATCCAGTCCTTCATTGTTGTCTGTTTGACAAATAACCGTGAGATAGCCATCAAAACCAGCACTCAAACAAAGGCGGAGCAGGTCACTGAAGGTACATACAAAAGCGGAACAGACAGTGAAAGAAAAAGAAATACGTCTAGCCACCCCACCCCATCTGTGACGTGAATAAAAGACTCGGACCCAACCAAACCATACGCGACGTTACGGTACCATATACACAGAATGTGAAAGATAAGATATGTATTACTCTGACAGTTGTTCCACACAGTACTGGATAAAAAATGTAAAAATGTAACTGGTAGAAAAACTATAGTGTGAACCGAGTTGGATGTAAATGTGTCCACCAGAAGATGAGAGAGAGAGAGTGTGTGAGAAAAAAATACAAAAACAAAAACAGATCTGAAAGGCCGAGTGGATTTAGTGTGTCTATGTACACGAAAAGTTAGTGAGAACTAGAAAAAAAAGCAATACTTTGAATGGCATCGTGTTCCTCCACACCACACTCTGCGCGACACACACAGTGTGGTAAACATGAGGGTCTTGTGAAGAGTAGGACCCGAATGGATTCGGGTCAGTGGCTGTCGCTCTTTGTCTGTCCTGATCTGGGGTCCAAATTATTGTTTATTGCACATGACTACTGAAAGAACTTCGTTTTGGAGTGGTTAATCCGGAGTACAACACTTCCAATGGCGAGAGTGAGCGAGAGAACGTGTGTGTAGTTCATCAGATTTAGATGAACGGAGCAACACACCGACTTCGCTCCGCACACTCCTTCTCTCTCTCTCTGTCTGTCTTTGGGTATCGTTTGTCCTGATTCGCTTCTAAGATGGGGTTTCGGCAGTGGACCAAAGATCAAACACAGTTCGAACAGGCTGACGCGATGCGGATCCCATGCCACGATGCGTGGAATAGGCTGGCGGTAATGCGCGACGAAAATGCGGACTCAGGCGGCCCAAATTGATAGTCATTCCCTTTTTGTGATAACTTCGTACCAGTTCACATTCCACGATGCGGTTGGGGGACTGATTGGCTTCTCCCCTCTCGGTAGTTATTGGCTGAATTCGGCTGAGTGCGGTAGTGGCCTTTGCATCCATTGAGAGGATGTGATCTGTTTCGGGGAGGAGGTGAAAATCACCAAAATCACACAAAAGCGAATAATTTCAGAAAGACGAAGTACAGAATTGAAAAACGTTACACCAGAAACCGATTTCCGGCTGAGTGTTGTAAACAGTGGCGCTCGGGGATCTTCCACGTCTGTTTACAACCTTAGTCTACCGGAATTCCTCTATTTACATCTGCACTTTGCTTCCTGCATTCTAATATTCGCTTTACTCCTTCACTCAAATAGGCAGCCGAAAGATAGCAATGAAAACCGCCACAGGAAAGTGTATACCGGTAATGGTGTTGTAGAAACGAAAATCGAAATGTCCAACAGGGATTGGACTGGGCTGTGGCAATGCAAATGCCCGTGGTGACCGGACAAAGGTTTGCTTTTCGATGTGGTTCT